TTTACAGTTAAAGTACATGTTTATCATATAAAGTCTAATGTTACAACTTATCGGGAATCCCTTTAAACAAAGTATTTATATTAAGTTTTTCTCTTGGTTTGTTAATAGAAAGTGATGTGATGTGAGTTGTTTTTTCATAGCCAAAGCAGATCTTTTGAAAACAAAGCAGCTGCTGAACAACGTGCTACACTGATTTTATTTTAGTGTTCTGACCAGTATGTATTTTTCACTAAAAGTAAGTCAAATGATAAATTGAATGCATCTATAGTGCCTTTCTAGCCAACCAGGCTACTCAACCAATATCCATGATCATACAGCACTCTACTACATTTATATATCCTGTGGGTACTTCAACATGTGGTTGGAATCGAACCACAGCTGCCATATTTAACAAACCTTAAAGGGCCAATATTATGTGTTTCTCAGGCATTTCACCTTCATTCATTATGATAAATCTTTTTATGTATAAATAAAAAATAAATTTGTCTTCGTATCACAGCTGTTTCTAAACCAGTTCATTTTTTATTTTTTATTTTTATTTTTATTTATTTATTTATTTTTATTTATTTTATTATTTTTTTTTGGAAGGGTTACTTCCAAAAATGAAATCAAACCATTTCTTAAGAACCATGTCATCTGAAAATACATTTCCTCCAAGGCATTTTATAATCTGAAAAGGACTGAACTGAGAAATATTACGAGCTCTGCAGAGGCTCAGTTTCACCAGGTATTTGCCCAGAGGAGGAGCTAAATCTAAAAGGTGGTTCTAGGGCCAACCGGTTGTTTTTGTTCTCCTGAATAGCTACCCAAGACATTACAGGATTTCTCAAACATGCATGAATAGGTCAAAGCAAAGCTCTGTGTATATTTTTGATAAGGGGATAACGTTATAACATGATATAAAGCTCAAAAGAAGTTGATTTTACATATTTTCCCTTTAAAGATATTTGTGCAATTTAATAGAAATTTGTGTAAATATAATAGAGCATTCTCACTCAGAATCTAAATTGGGAGCAACAACAAGCTGGTTGTAGCAGCTGCTGCATCTTCAATATCCTACTTAGTAATGGATGAAGTGCACAGGCATGGCTAACTGCTGTTTATTTTTTGAAGTGGTGGTAGTTTAACACGTTTTTAAAATGCACGTTTTACTGATTGTTGCTTTATCAAACAACCTGAGTGGCAGAACATCCTTTACAGTTGAAATGTTTCAAAGAAACCGACCAGCCAGTAATGTTTTCATAATTTTTTGTATTTCAGGCTGAGTGATGAGGTCCCTTCAGTGAGGCAGACAGCTGTGACAGTTCTTACTCAGTTGGTGCTGAAGGATGTGCTCAAGGTCAAGGGTCAAGTCAGCGAAGTGGCCGTGCTGCTAATTGACCCAGAGCCGCACATCTCCAGCCTGGCTCTGAACTTCTTCAATGAGCTGGCCACAAAGGTGCTGACACACACACACACACACACACACGTTCAGGAGCTGTGATGGAAAACCGTACCTCATGAAGGGTTTTTAAACTCCTCTTCTTGTGTTACCCATCAGGACAACGCCATCTACAACTTGCTCCCAGACATCATCAGCCGGCTGTCTGATCCAGAGAGGGGCATGAGCTCAGAGGACTTCAACACCATCATGAAGTGAGTCACCCAGCTGCACACACAACCTGTTCATTCACTCCCTGCTCCCACAAGATCTGGTCAAACTAATGTACTGCAGTGAAGGTTTCAAACAGATGTGATTTCAGGTTTATTAGAAGTTTTTGTTTGTTTTCAGACAACTGTTCTCCTACATCACTAAAGAAAGACAAACTGAGTCTCTGGTAGAGAAACTCTGCCAGCGCTTTAGGACTGCCAAGTGAGTATATTATCCATCATTTTTATGATAAAAGCTCCAACCTGCATATTTTATTTTACTTTTATTTTTCTTCTCACAATAGTTTCACTGCTAAATCTGAGCCTTTTCCTGTTACATTGTTTGAGATGTTGGGGGTGGGTGGGCGTGTGGGTAATTAGTGGGCGTTTTGAGTTTGACAATTAAATCAAGTTCACAGTTCACTTCACCCATCATGTTCCCTGACATCTTCCTATTCACTGGTTTTGTCATGGAAACGGTCTTCTTGAATAGTTTGTGAAAGTAAATGCAATGGCAGGGCTGGCCCGGCTTCAGCCTCTGACTCATTCTTCATCCCTACACAGAGCTCAAAGGAAGGACATTTTATATTTCATAATGGCAAAGTGAATTTAGACATAAAAGGTTCCTGGTAAATGAGATTTGGACCAAATGTCAGGACTCTGCAATGTTTACGAGTAATGAGCTTTTTTTCTTCAGGCTCTTGAATTTCTGTGCATTCTGCTGCTGCTAATCGGTTTTATTTTCTAATCCTTCAAACTCGTTTTTTATGCTCAGGACGGAGCGGCAGTGGTGCGACGTGGCCGTGTCCCTGTCTCTGCTATCAATGTGTGAGCGTGGTTTTAAGAGGCTGCAGGAATGTTGGGAGTGTTACAGTGACAAACTGACCGAACCTGGAGTCTACCAGCCCCTGCTGTCCATCACCGCCAAGCTCCGTCGAGGAGCCAAACTTCAGTTTAAGGTGTCGCAAACTTCCCCTTTTAAAGCAGATTTGTTGTTTATTTTCTGTAATTCTTCGAAGGTAAATCAATTTTATGTATTTATTTATGATGAACTGTTTCAGGCTCAGGTTGATGAGTTTGAAAAGCGTCTGACAGCAGTTCACACTCGAGGCTTGGAGAACGTGGAAAGTCCTGAGATGGATGAGGAGAACCAAAAAGGAGGATCCACTGAGAAGAAGACCGCACGTACTCCTCTGCCCACCAGAGGCCAGAAGAAATCAAAGAGAGGTCAAGATTCACAGATTCTGAGGTTTCCTCTTTGGGGGGAAAAAAACAACAACTTTTGTTTAACATCTAATAATTTTCTTCTTATCCCCCAGCAGGTCAGTCTAAGTCTTCAGTTTCCAGCCAAGGTGACAACAGCTTTGTTACTCCTCGGAAATCTCACAGGTCCAGGAAACCCACCATCACCTTCAGCAGTGATGAAGAGGAAGATGAGGAAGGTAAGTCTAGATTCATTCATTTGTATGTATCAATATTTTATTGTATTTTTCTCTGTGTATCTACATATGTTCAAAGAGTAAATATTTTTATTTGATAATAAAACATTTAAGCCCTTTACAGTTGTACATTTTCGTATAGATATTTGTGAAAAATGTTTGTTCAAATTAAAAACAAACGGAACAAACCAAATGCATCATGTTCAAACTGGATGTCAGAAAATGTCCTTTGTGCGTTTTTTCCAACTCAAAAACTGACTAATTCATTGCTTTTGATCATTTTGTCACCTCATTAAACAACCCCCTGAGTTTAGTTAATTGGATGACAAGAAAAACGGTTCTTCAATTGTAATTTTCCAATTGGTGTTTTGTTTGTAAGCAGTCATCAGTTCAGATCAATACGACGTTCAGAGTCGTCAGACCGGTGCCTCTGCAGGCAGCTTCCTGAGACGCTTTAAGATTTTAATCTGGGTTGTTCTCAGATAGTGAGTTGTGCTGTGAAGTAGCACTAATCCAAAACCTGAAGGTGTTGGTTTAAGAAAAAAAAAACACCTTTGCTGAAAAATCTTGTATACCAAACTTTCATGTGAACAGTTTTTATATATAATTAGATGTCTTTTGACAATCTTACGCGTCCGCTCCAATATTTTCATTTGGTCTTTTTCCTCTGATGACAAAAAAAAATTGACCCGCAACTAATTAGTTTTTAATTTCTGTCAAGTCTTACCTGTTTACTAAAATGTCTCTGGTGTTTGGTAGACGTGGAGCTCTTTTTAATTGTTAATTGTGACCGAGGGAACTCAACCGTGAGAAACTGTAAACAGACTTTGACTTGAAAAGAAAATCTAAAAAAAAAAAGCTGGAGCTTTTTTAAATTATTGGTCCTGGTCACTTGTCTGGTTCAAATCCACACTAGATTATCTTGTTTGTGTTTTGTTTTTAATATTAGATGCTGTATTGGCAGAACATGAGACTCCTAAAGTGACGACACCGATCGCACGATCCTCTCGACGAACTCGTCTCAGAAACTGAAATCTCTTCTTGTCTTTTTCTGTCTTTTATTTGTCTTTATATTTTAATGAAATGCTTAACTTTTTATTTTGTTTTTAAATCTTTTTTTATTTGTATATTTTAACTGATGTTGGTGACTAGTACCAAACTTTAGTGAAGTCACAAGATGTAATCTAATGACTTCATAAAACTTAATAAACCTGCTTTTAATTTTTGTGTCTGTATTTCTCCGTTTTGCTTCTTCACGCTGAAAAACCCTCTCATGTGAGGGTTGTGTGTCTCTGCTGGGTTATCTCCTGTAAATTTGTACGATGACTGCAGGCAGGTTGAATGTCTGCTTGTGTTTTTGTGTTTGGACAGCGCTGTTTAAAGGGTCGCCACAGCTTGTTCAGACAGCATTACTGCCCTCCTTCAGCTCCACTTCCTTTAGTTTGCCTTTCTCCTATTTTCTTTTATATCGGAGTTCAATCTTTCCCAGAGGTGGAACACTTTCTTTGTATGTCTCACAGCTGTGTTTGCATGTTATTTACAGTCTTTGTTTTTGTTGTTTTTTTTCACCGCCTGATGCGTTTGCCGTTGCCTAGCTGGCAGTCTCTGTTCTCCTGTAATCAATCTCTTTTGTAGATGTCCCTCCGCTCTCCGCCTGCTGGGTTTTTTATTTATTTTTTCCTCCCTCCTATTCTCCTCCTACTCTCTGTTGCCTGCTTTTCCTCCAACACTCCACCGACATCACATGGACTGTAGTTCAAACCCCCACTCCTCACTAATCTCTCTCTCCCTTTTCTCCTACGTCCTCTCCCACACGTCCTCTCCAAAAAGATGAGAAGGGTGCATTTTCTGTATGTGTGACTGATGTTATGTAAAGACACTTGCAACAGCCGGCTAAATGTATATTTATCTGAGGAGAAATTGAGTTAAATGAAGGCGGTGATTTGAGCTCATTTATCAGAAGTCAGTGAGCAAAGTGGAGAATCACTGATTGTTTCTAATGACAGATTTCTGTTTACTTTAAAAAAAAATCAGTGGTTGAACTTTAAGGTCGGTGTGTTGGATCACGCAGCTCCTGGTAGTGTTGTAATTTGGCGACAGGGGGTACATGGAGCAGATGGCACTGACAGACTGTAACTTACCCAACAGAGAGGGGAGGCTAGTGCATGCTGGGAACAACTTCAGCGTCGATGGGAGAAAAGGAGGCTAATATGCTTAATGAGCAATAGGTACCAGGTGGGAAAATATGTAATTCAGATTATGTCCTGACTGGAACGACTCACTTTTTCCAGACGGTCTACCTGGGATTTTGCGCGTCACGGTGGTGAGGTCCTTGCCGACCTTTGACCTTGGCCGGTGCAGCACACGCTGGCTTAAGTTTGGTTTGCAGAGTCCTCACCGCACACAGTCACCTTGGCAATGACAATCCGTCTCCCCGAGGCTATGACATCACTCCAAAGAAAAGAAGATGAGGAGGAGGAAGAGATGATGTGGACAGTGGGTGGGGGGGGCATGTCTCCGACTGTACAAAACCTCTGCATCATCTCCGCTGATGCCCCAGCATTCAGCCTCTGCCAGAGGAAGACCATCATCATCATCCTCCCAATTCCATCACTGTGAAAGCGAGGAGGAGGAGGAGCCAGCCGAGTGAGAAACCGATGCTCCCAGCAGGTGCCAACAAGTGAGAGGAAGCTGAGAGACTCAGAAGGTGGGAGATGAAGAGTCTGTGAGAAGAACACACACACAAAGCTTTAAGAGAGACCAGACCTCAGCAAACAGGTGAGCTCCTTTAAATTTTATTTAAATTTTTTATTCGACAGTAATTTAAAGCATCTTTTAACTTCATTAAGACCTGTTGGATATTAGTGTAAACTTGGTAAAAGATGAACGATTTCTTGCTTGCATTTTCTTGGCAGTTTGAGTTCATTGTTGAAATTCATTTATTTAGATTTATGCTATTTTAAGTGCAACCAAAATATTTATAAAAATTGCTGACCCTCTACTAACCCCACATCAGTTTTATTACTAAAAAAATATTTTTAAATACTTTTGTTGCACTTTTGTTTAGGTACATTAGCTTTTAAATAAATTATTACGGACCAATGTATGCTTGTCTGTCAGCCACATTCAGCATAAATTAATCTACTTGTTTCCTTTTTTTTGTATAAAATCTCAAAAGATTATCATATAAATCTTTAAAAAAAACTTTTTTTAATCTATTCAGTTTGCATAAATCAGAAATTTGTTTTTTACATCAGCAAAACTAAAATTTAAATCTAGGAAATTGCACAAAATGTGTACATACACAACATAAATCACCAAAGATGACCAGCTGATTCAACGCTACATCGTTCTAGTGTCATAATTTTAAAAATGGATGGATTTGTTCTGAAATGACTAATGTTTTCCTCTGTATTTGTGTCAGTGTTGGAATCTTTGCCGTCGTTTCCAGCTCCTCCGCTCCTCGTCTCTGCTGCGATGCTGCGTCCTGTGCTGCTTTGTGTCACCCTGCTCCTCCTGACTCCCTTTGAGGTCTCTGAGGCTCGTGCTCTGCATCCTTCTCCCGATGCTGCGCAGGTAGTGTGTGTGTGTGTGTGTGTGTGTGTGTGTGTGTGTGTGTGTGTGGTGGCTGAAAGTAAGAGAATTCAGGGTGGATGAAGAGTGGAGGAGGATGAAATGTTCTACTGATTGAATTATTCCTCCTTGTACGCACCCTGACTGTTTTATTTGATTTTTTTCTCTCTCTCTCTGCTGTGCAGTTTCTGGAGGAGTTTCTGGAGCGCCACAATGACCTCCTGACTCTGGATGACCTGGAGAACATGTTAAACAGCGACACGACGGAGGAGCAGTCCAATGCCTCCTCCGGGGTCAAAGCGGCAGAGTTCCCCAAGTGGGCCGACGTTCAGACGCAGCCCGAGACCCCCTGGCTCCGGCTGCTGAAGGGGGCCCTGGCCAGCCAGAGGCGAGCAGAACCAGAGCGCTCCCGGAGGGGCTGGAACAGAGGATGCTTTGGCTTGAAACTGGACCGGATCGGGTCCATGAGCGGACTGGGCTGTTAGTGGAGAGAAAAGGAGGAGCGGGTTTGAGACTGGTGTCGTCCTTCACCTTCAGATAGAGGTTTCCATGTAGTTTATCTGTAGTTTGGTGTTAACTTGCAGTCTTGTTATTGTGGTTTCAACAAGCGTAGATCAGATTCTTCACACTTTTATTCCAAACTGAGTATTAGACCCTGTTAGCTGTGTTTCCATCACACCATCACCCTGAGTGCAGTAACTGTACACATGTTCTGACATTTTGTGGTTCGGGATTTTCAGTGTAAAAGCGTCAGTAACAGACATGGATTTCCTCACCTGTAATCCCCTACAGTTTCTTTTTATGTTCACTTTTGATTTGCATGAATAAATGGATTTGACATTTGTGGCGTTCTGGTAGTTGCTCACAGAAATTCAATTCTTGCCCACACGGTTCACTCCCTATTGACACCTGTCATTTCAATTTCTCCTTCAAATAGGAGCTTCGCATCCTCATGACATTTTTTTTTTCCAACTTGATGATTTATTGAATGTTCTTGTGGCTGCTGGAACAAGTTAACTCCTTCCCCCGTCAGTCTGGAGCGTGGACCTGCTGCTGCCGCCAGAACAGTTTATCACCCTGCCAGTGCGGCGAAGATCCTGAGGGTGGGGGTGGGGAATCTTTCAGTCATGTGCAGGAAATGGGTAATGTTTGTCAGATAAGCCTATAGGGAACGTGCATAGCAAGAAGAATTTAAATAAATTTTACATCCTAAATATTCAAATGATCAACCCAAACTTTACTGACTGGATAACACCTTTTATTCTTTATTTATTTGCCACTTCAGTAGAATGCAGAATTGAATATTAGTTTCTTCATCAGTGACTTTTTAAAGAAGAAAACAATGAAATATAATTGGGAAAAGTAAAACACCTTTTATTTTAACATAAAAGTGCCAACCAATATGGTTATATAAAATTGTATTTTTAAAATTTTCTTTGAAATACATCAGTTAATCCAGGGCTGGCCTGTGGCTTAGGCAGTAAATGCTAAGGGCACTGTTCATTTTGGATGCTTCGCTAATGGGGGACACGTTTTTTTTTTAATTTTTTTACTTATCGAGTATAGTTGATTTAGTCTGTAGAAGAGTCGGGTAACTTCTGTGGGTTTCTCAGCTGCAGTGCTCCTACATGAGGTGTTATACAGTGCAGAGGATATTTCATGATTAAAGCATATGATGCTGTCAAGACTACCGGTGCTGTGTGAATAAAAAACAAAATAAGGATAAATTTCAGTTCTGATCTACACTCACCGGCCACTTTATTAGGTACACCACGCTAGTAACGGTTTTGTGGTCATAAAGGGATGGACATGGTCAGCAACAATACTCAGGTAGGC